TTAAGGCTACATCCGCACTAATATGTTAAAATATTGTTATGAGAGCTTCCGAAAGAAAAGATGTGCGTCCACACTACCGTTATCATTAGCACTGAAAAAAAAACTTCTGCGTTCACTGCTCCATGTAAAAGGCAAATGACGTAGTGACTACACAAATAATTAGCTTTAGCTTTCGTGTAATTATATGAGTGGTTGTTAACGCATATATTTCTGAAATATTTCATTTGCACATTTAACCAAAGCTTTTATAATATATTTTTTGAATTGGCACACTTCATATTTTATTTGTTTGTTAGCTCGAGCACAACGTGTCATTTGCACATTTTTTTGTCCAACAAAAATATTTTCTAATTCTAGTAGAAGTAGTGAAGTATATGTTTTGAATCACTTATTTTGACTTGATTAGTAATAAAGTTCAGTTTTTATATATACTTGACTGTTGATTAATCTCACAGACAACCATGTTTTTAAAGTAAATACATGTATTTTATTTAGCAAAAGCGTTATATCACAGTACTGTAACGTCGCAACCACAAAGCTGTATATAAAAGGAACCATCACAACAACAACACAGGGATCCAGAAGTTTTGTCAGTACGCGTCTCACTCTCTTCCCCTCAGTTTCAGTGCATTCTTGTCTTACGCTAATGTTCAATGGCTGGATGTCTTTATAATAAGCTAGAATTGCACTTAAACTTGGCTCAGGTACAGTCTCGTTTTGAACTTCACAGTTGTAAACAGCGTACAATGTACACAAAACACGATTTAGCTGCATACAAGTAAGCAAAACAACATATGCCACGTAGTGAAAGTCCTGTACGTCTGACATGTTCACATGTGGCTTACTTCCGTGAAAACAAAGGCAAGGCATTCTTCATTCCCGTGAAGAATAACTAATCAGGAAAAGAGACATCGAAATAAAGAAAGCTAATCAGGATAGGGTCACAAGCTTAGCGCAAACCAATCGGAGCTCACCGATGCAGGCGTAACAAAATTTTTACGTTTATGAGTGTCCGGACCATTGCGTTTACAGAAAGATTAGCTGTCAGACAATGTTGACATTTTTCTCCGTAGTAGTGTGGACAGAAGACTAAATTGAAAGAAATTTTTTGCATTACTAAACAAAAACATATTAGTGCAGACATAGCCTTTAGTTTTTAGACAACTAAATTGTAGACAACCCAGCATGCAGCATTTAGACAGAAACTACCACCAACAGACCTTTCCACCACTGACTATTGTACAGAGATAATGAAACTTACCTGTATATGGTCTGATTACAGAGTGCCCAACTAGATAGGGCACAAGGCAGAACGTGGTTGAGTGCATCCTACAATGGGCTCTGTCACAAGTGCTCTCCGATGATGGAAAGACACGGCGCCTGGTTCCAGCATGGCAGGACACAGAGGTCCTTGAGTCAGTGAACAAGACACTGAAGCCACTTCAGGAATTTACGAATGCACTGTCTAGAAAGGATCATTTAGGTGTGTCTTACGTGCAACCAGTGTTTTCTCTGTTGAAGACTAAAACTCTTGCAATTAATGAGGAGGACACTGCTTTGACCTGCTCAATCAAAATTAGAGACTTTGGGAGTACAGGGACAAGAAATACAGGGAACCTGCAACCCAGAGTCAGTTGAACACTGCTACTTTCTTTGCTCTATAATGCAGGTATTATAGAGCAACCTCTCAGACATCAAGACAAAATTGTCAGAGATGGCAATGACATGAAAAGAATGTTTGTTTTTTTTTTTTGGCATTCCTGAGTTTCAAATATAACTAACATTAAAAATACTTACACACTCATTCCTCTCTAACAGAACAGTCTGTTGTTGAGCTGTTCAAAAATTCAGCTGATGTAGGGTCTGAGCCTCACCAGAGTCACATATTCACAGGCATATTAAGACTCTGTTGGTAGATAAGTTCTGTTTGACTATGTAGTATACACTGACTGGCCAAAAACAAAAGTTTAATATTTGGTCTGGCTGCCTTTAACTTTGATTGTGGTGCACATTCATTAATTTCCACGTGCTTATGCAGCATCTCAACATATTTTTTCATCCATATTTGCATTAATTTCTCATCAAGATCTTGTATTGATGATAGGTGAGTTGAATCACTCCGTAAAGTCTTCTTAAGCACATCTCAAAGACTTTCAATGGGGTTAAGGTCAAGCCTCTGTGCTGCCAAATTCACGTGTGAAAATGATTCCTCATGCTCCCTGAATCACTCTGACAGTCCGATCCCTATGAATCTTGGCATCATCATCCTGGAATATGTCCGTGCCTTTAGGCAAGAAAAAATCCATTGATGGGATAACCTGGCCACTCAGTAGATTCAGGTACTCAGCTGACTTCACTTTATTGCTGCATAACGTTGCTAAGATTTAAAAGGGATGCTATCATTGGCTTTTAAGTATCTGCTGATTTAAATTCAAGCAGTGACATTATTTTGGCCAGTCAGTGTTTTCAACTGTTAAAGGTGCCACAGAATAAAAACTTTACCATAGTTGAAAAGGGAGAATTTGGTTACTGGAAATGACATATCTCAAATCTCAAACACTGTTGTTCCCTGTTTCAAATATGATCCCTGATTATTGGGGAAAAAAAATTGTAATGCAGAGCATTACACTTTACAGCATATTTCATGACCGTGCCTGATTTGTACAACTTTGTTTCATGACTTTTTCAGCACCAAACCTGATCCTCTGTTTTTCACTACATCATCTGGTAAGCAATCTCCACCAGCCCAGAACAGGATATTAAGGCAGATATTCCAATTTTGAATTCTTTGTGCTCTGTTGCATAAATGTTCTGCATAGCACCTGGAGTCGTGTCTAAGTGTGTGTTTATGGGTCTTGTTAGGTACCACAGTCATGATGTCCCTTCAGTTCATTGAATCAACCCTAAAAATATATTAATATACCATGTCGCTACATGGTAGCAATTTCAGCCGGAAATGGGAATAAACTAAATTTTAGATATGGGATACTTAAGTAATATTGAAAATAGTAAAACTGAAAATAGTCAACCGGAGTGAACACTTTTTTAAAAAAATAAGTGGAATTAACACCAGTTCTTGCTAAACAATGAAGCTACGCCTGTAGTTTGCTGTAAATGTAAACAGTATGGCTTGCCATAAAACTGCGGGATGAACTCACTGGGTAGCACCAGAAAATATAACGCTGTGCAAGTGTGCAAGGTACAAATCAGGTAGGATGGCGGAGCGAGTACCTTGGATCCGTGCTTCATTCACAAATCAACAGGATGACTTCCTACTGTAACTAGATGAGTACAATCTCAAACTGTTGAGGGGCTCAGTGCAGAATGCTTATAACCAAGACTGGATTATTGCCACCATGTTTATGCAACCTTCCGGCTCTCCCTTCAAGTCAGCCCATTATAACTGGGCTCGCCGGAGCTTCCATCCACCTTCTCTGATGTTTGTATCCTATCCATAATCAACAATAGATACTTAGCACTCTTGTGTGTTTTCTCTTTTTCCATTGGAGGATGAGTTCCCTGAGTCTTGGTTCCTCACTAAGAATTCCTCCTGTCGCTACTTAAGGAGCTTTCACCTTGCCACTGTCGCCCTAGGCTTGCTCATTAGGAACTGGGCCCGGCTACCTTTTAAGCTACTTTGAGGCAAATTTTAAATAAATTTGTAAAAAGTCAGAGTAAAATGTCACAAAGGTTTTTATATTAACATGCTTAATAAAACATTAAAACAAATGAATATAGAACTGTTATTAGCCTGCCAGAACTTCCTGTGTGGTTAAATGAAAACCAACACCAATGTGACATCTCTTGATCAATAAGAAAATAGAATTTACCAGAGCCATGGTATAACGGTATAGACAGAGGTCAGGAGGGGCCATGTGCATTGTTTTCATGGCCACAACATATATTTAACTTCATTTACATTTAACTGATGCTTTTATCCAAAAAAGCTTACAGTAGAGGAAAGAGGTACAATTTATGTGCACATGGTTCTGTATCTGTTGAGCTACTGGAGAGCTATTGATGCAATACTAAATCGTGCTTTAGTATAATGTGCTCATGAAATACTAAATCAAGTTCACGATTGTGCGGGACACAAAATAATAATTTTCAGTGAGGGCTGAACAGCTAGAGGGGACAGATGTCAAAAACACCTGAACATTCTTATTTAGACCATATACAAGGCGTTAGCCACAATCAACAAGAACAGTATTTAGAAATCAATATATTTTTAACTTTTGGCTCCTTCACTAAGAATATACTAATTCCTTGCCCACAATACAACAAGGAATACTGGCAAACAAGTGACTATCTTGCCTGATGGCTGAACTCACATTTAGAATGGTTAAACCAGGTTAAATCGCTCTCCGTTTCAGACACACACATACACACATATACATTTACATAGTAGAGAAGGAAGTTTCACTGGATGGGGGGGGGGGGGGGTTTGCCTATTATTAAAAGCCTACCTTACACACTCTCACCTCTCCAAAAAAAGAGTAAGAATTAAATTTCACCAAGTTCCCCACAATACATTTTGATGACCAGCTATGGGTCTGCCAAAAAAATTATGAAGTATTCAAAAAAAATCATCTAGAGTATTCAGAAAATCATTTTGTGCGCTATTCTGTACAATGTTCCTGGAAAGTTTGCAAAATGATCCACAGAATATGTTCACATGGCAGATGGCTATATTCTCAAGATGGTGGCTGCAGCCTCTATTTTCTCCCTGTTGTCCTCTGTCCTGCAATTCCAACTTTGGGTTGATTTGTCTATTATGGGGAAAATGTTCGTGTAAAGATTTTGTCTATATAGTGTTTTTGTGAAGTGATAATAAGATCCCAAACTATATCAGGTGGCAGTCGAAGGCAGCGGCCTCGACGGACTGATCGTCAGCAACCAAAACTGGCTCTCGGCACATAGAACATAATCTCTCTGGTGGGAAAGGAGCCCAAGTTGGTGCGGGAGATAGAAAGATACTGACTAGATATAGTTGGGCTCACCTCAACCCACAGCTCGGCCTCTGGAACCAAAGTCCTGGAGAGGGGCTGGACTCTATTCCACTCTGGAGTTGCTCATGGGGAGAGGCGCCGGGCAGGGATGGGTCTGCCTATAGCCCCCCAGTGTGTTGGAGTTTACTCCGTTGAATGGCCCATTGCTGCATTGCAGAGCTGTGACCATAAGGTTATTAGTGCCTGTCGTGGCGGCAATCCCCGAACCCGATGGTAGACACCAGTGGTAAAAGGAGTTGACAGGCAAAAGAAGGAGGCCTTACAAGCTTGGTTGGCTTGTGGAACTCTTGAATCAGATGACAGGTACCGGCAGGGAAGGCGAAACGTGGCTTTGGTGGTTGTTGAAGCAAAAACTTAGGTGCAGGAGGGATTTGGTGAGGCTATGCTTTTGGTCGGTCTTGAAAAGTTTCTGGCAGATAGACAGCTCTAGGGGAGAGGGAAGCATGGCTTTAGCTAGCAGAGACGGAGAACTGTTGACCTCAACTGGGGATATAGTCAGGCGATGGAAAGAACACTTTGAGGATCTAATGAATCCCACTGATACACCGTCTTTGGAGGAAGTACTGCTGGAAGACTCAGAGGGGGACAAACCCATTTCTAGATCTCAGCCATGAGATCACTGAAGTAGTAAAAAAAAAAAAAAACAACTTTGATGGTAAGGCTCCAGAGGTGGATGTGTTCTTGACAGCTCTTGATGTTGTTAGGCTGTCTTGGCTGACACACCACTTCAACATTGCGTGGATGTTAGGTATTGGCAGACTAGGGTGGTGGTCCCAATTTTTAAGAAAGCGGGCCGGAGGATATGCACCATCTTCAGGGGATCACACTCCTCAGCCTCCCTGGGAAGGTCTATGCCAAGATACTGAAGAGGAAAGTCCGTCCATTGGTTGAGCTTCAGATTCAGGAGGAACAATGTGGATTCCATCCTGGCTGCAGAACACTGGACCAGCTTTTTACCCTCACAAGGATACTGGAGGGTTCATGGGAGTTTGCCCAACCAGTCTATGTGTATGCGTTTTGTGGAAAGGGCATACAATCCTGTCCCTTGGGGGGTCCTGTGGGAGGGCTTCAGGAATATGGGCTATGGGTTCTGTTGTTGTGGGCCATCAGGTCCCTGTACAAATAGAGCAAAAGCTTGGTTTGCACTGCCAGCAGTAAGTCAAACTCATTCCCAGTGGGTGTTGGACACCGTCAAGGCTGCCCTTTGTCACGGATTCTGTTCATAATTTTTATGGACAGAATTTCTAGGCATAGCCAAGAAACGGAGGGGGTGTGGTTTGGGAGCCTCAGGATCTCGTCTTTGCTTTTAGCAGATGATGTAGTCTTGTTGGCATCATTGGCTAGTGACCTGCAGCATGCACTGGGGCAGTTTGCAGCGGAGTGTGAGGTGGCCAGAATGCGGATCAGCACCTCCAATTCTGAGGTCATAGTTCTTGACCGGAAAAGAGTGGACGGCCCGGTCCTGGTGGGGGGATGAGTTGCTCCCCCAAGCGGAGGAAATTAAGTATCTCAGAGGCTTGTTCACAAGTGAGGGAAGAAGGGAGCAGGAGATCAACAGACAGATCGGTGCAGCATTGGCAGTACTGCAGACACTGTACCATTTTGTTGTGGCAAAGAGGGAGCCAAGCTGGATGGCAAAGCTCTCGCTTTACCAGTCAGTGTATGTTCCTACCCTCACCTAGAGCCATGAGCTCTGGGTAATGACCAAAAGAATGAGATTACGGACACAAGTGACAGAAGTGAGCTTCTCCTGCAAGGTGTCTGTGCTCAGCCTTAGAGATGAGGGTGAGGAGCTCGGACATTCAGGAGGGGATCAAAGTAGAGTCACTACTCCTTTGAAAGGAAAGGAGCCAGTTGAGGTGGTTCAGACATCTATCTATGATGCCTGCTTGACGGCTCCCTGGGGATGTGTTTCAGGCATGTCCAACCGTATGGAGGCCCCAAGGCAGACCCAGGACACACCGGAGAGACTATATCTCCGGAGAGAACACCTTAATATTCCCCTGGAAGAGCTGGAGGAGGTGGCTGGTGAGAGGGAGGTCTGGGCATCCCTGCTTATTCAACTGCCCCAGCAACCCGACCCTGGACAACTGGCATAAAATGGAATGGTTGCAATGGATGGATGGCAAGAAGGCCCATTATAGAACAAATACAGCAAATAGAGTAATAAAAAGAAAAAAAGTTTACAAAGATAAGCCTCATATTTCATTCATCCTCTCCACCGTTACTCCAATTTCTGAGTTATCATGACAAGATCAAGCTGCCCAAATGTTTGCTATTACTATGCGGTGCTGTTTTGATTTTGAGGTGATCGGTCTTAAAATTTAATCAGGCCCAGTTCGTCACACATACAATCCTGCTACAAAGTCTGAAAAAGATCCAACAAATGGTTTTTGAGTTATTGTCTTTATCAAAGCTTCAGTATTAAAACTATATTTAGACATAGAAAAACCTGAATGATATGACACTTTAAGACATGGACAATAAGACATACACAAAAAACACAGATAACCCTTAAATTGGTGTAGATTATGCAAAATTCAAGTGGAATGTGGGTTTTACACACATATTATATATATATATATATATATATATATATATATATATATAGATAGCCTGTTCTCCCATCAACATAATCAACTGCCTTATTTATAAAGCACATGGAACGACACCATGTGTCAGCCAAAGTGCTGTACACAAAACAAATAAACACAATAAAGCACAAAAATAAGAATAAAGAAATCAATTTAAAAAAAAAAGAAATGAGCAAAACATGTTTAAGTCGGCTTTATGCACATTGGGGTTTATGTGCACTTAGACTAGATACACCTTAGGGTGGAGAAATACCAAAATATGGGCATATCGCATATAAATGACCCTTCTGTGCACTCTGCCTCTGACTTAAGTACTTTTAATTGCATTTTTTCACTACACGCTCTACAGCGCTGTATTAAGTCATGCACTTCTACATGGACAAACACAATACTGCAATGGTCTGAGAACAAGAAAACAAATAAAAACTTTAAAAATACATTTAGAAATGAATGTTCCAATCTCAAACACATGTGAATAGCCATATAATATGATTCATATAACAAAATAGTATATAGAAATAATAGTATAAATATATCATGAGTGGTCTAGTAGGTGAATCAATTAGGCTAAAAGATTTGTGAATTAAAAAAAAAAAACTGTTTTAATTAAAATGAAATTATATTGAATACTGGAATTACCTAAAAATGCTACACATTCCAAACTTATGGTTCCATTAGCATGCTATCTACTCTGCCATTTTATGTTTTTTCATTTTTACGCGTTATTTTCTTTTTAGCAGCATCTGGAGCAAACAATGGAATTTCACTGCATATGCATGTGAAAAGTTGTTTGAATCTTTGAATGCACGTTTTACTAAGTTGCTCATTTTCCCAGGGCCCAGAAGTTGTTCCCCTATGAGACACACACGTTTATATTCACATCTTTATGGGGACCGTCCATGTATTTATATTGGAAAAACCCCAATCCCAACAATGCAACCTAAACCCCTACCAAGCCTTGACTTTTACCAAAGGTAACCAAAGAAAATACAAGACTTTTGGCATTTCTTAGTCTTTTGATTACAGTGAGAGATTTTTATAAGCTGGACCCCATGAAGTCAAAATAACAAGTCTTATCAGATTATAGGGACATCTGGTCCCTACAATGTAATATATACATGACCCACAAATACACACGCACACACAAATTCACTTGTGTGGCCCCAGTCCCACATGTGAACGAAAGTGAGCGAGTTATAGGGTAAAGGCAAGACATTAAGTTCAGTACTGTAATATACATGCAATACTGTACAGCAAATAACATAAAGAAAATCACAAATTATAATGAAAAGAGATTGCATTTAAATCTCATGAAAAATAAGGCACAAACTGCACTACATGATCAAAAAATGCATGTGGCAACAAGCGATGGGAAGTGAAAAAAGATAGCACCTAAAACTACAGCAAAATATTTATGTAAATTACACAGTAAATATATTAAAATATTGTACAGTATAGCATCTTTATAATGAAATGGCACAATGCAGGTACTGTGTCTGCATCATATCTTCTTACTGTAGCTGCATACATACTGTATTACAAGCTAGATATGGATAGTGGGTCATTATACAGCTGGCAGCTCTTCGCATTCTCCTGCACCTGTTACACTAAGTGAGACACCCACTAAAATTCTACCATGTTTCGCGCATCTATTGATCGTTTTATTTTATTTACCAAGGACCTCTGACATAAATGCGATTGGACATTACTTGATAGAACATCGACAGGTAGCTCTATACAGAGAAGCGCAAGGTCAGCTGTTTGGAAGCCCTGGGCAGACTCACAGATTCACAAACACTTAAACATTATTGTAATGTTAGAGTTGCTGATGTGAGAAAGCTTAATGGAATGTTAATGTCAATTACTACAGGCTTTATGTTTAGTATGCGTGTAGTAACCAATAAATAAACAAAAGCTTTGCCAGTTTTGGTTCACCAAATGGTGCTTTTAAGCCAACGGCTAGAGAAGTATATTAACTTTCTGGTAATTACTACCTGAGAATTGTATTTTTATGTGCTAATTTTAGTCACCCATCCAAATACGACTTGAGATTGATCACTAAGAAAAAAATGATGTGACAAAGTTCTCATATCAACTGATTCTTCTTATTCATATTATTTTAATAGTGGCTACCCCTGACTAGCAAAAAATATACTTGGGGTCGTCTGAAATTTTTAAATTTACCATCTTCTGGACAGAACAAGATTACATTGCCTTCAGCTCCTCCATCCCACCCGGCAAGCTTCCATGTGCAAGTTCAATACGTGTCTGACAATCATGCCAAGTCTTGTTGCCTGGCAGAGAGAAAAAAAAAAAAAAACAAACAGACACAATAGGCTTTCCTGCAGATGGGCTTGGAAGCCTAAAAATGTATATTTTCGAGCTAATCTGTGCTTTAATTACTTTAAGCTGCAGAAAATGGGGGGAAAGTGCAGTTGCAAATAAAGTGCATATTTTCACAACTACAAACCAACCACAAACCATATAGACTGGCTGAACAAAAGAACCCGTGAATACTACAGAGCACTGGTTCAAAAAAAGCTAGAGCACCAATACTGTATCAAACATCAAATTAATTTTCTTCATGTTTACCATCCATGCTGAACATTCACAGAACGAGGGGTACAAAATTAATTATGCTAATCCTGTCACCTGCAATATACCTGAAGTAATCAAATAAAGATAACTAATAGCGAAACCTGTAAATGCAGTTAATTTCTTATTTTCATTTCAAATGACGATTTTACATGTTTTATATGTATATTACATACATACATACATACACACACATACACACACACACACAACTACCTGCAACCCTGGAAAATATAGATGGATGGATGGCTGGCTGGGTGTAAAATACTCCACCCACCCAGCTCCTTCTACTACTTCATTAACCCTTGCATTCCTGGAGCATGCCTACAACAGATGGCGGCAGGGGTGCTCCAGCAGAATCAGTGGGGGAGCACTCCTTCCATCCAAAGCAAGGATGCCATGGCCACAGGAACAGCTGGCACATACAAATACACACTGTAACTGCATACAGTCTAGAACTCCTCCGTACTGCAAACTATAATAGCCCATAAAGCAAATCAGTTATTCGAAGAAAAGTATTTACATTGCAATCTGGTTTAAAATGTTATCACAATACAAATCTGCATTTTAAGAAGTACTGCACATTTTAAATTCCTTTTTAATAGGAAATATTAATGATATAAAATTATTATTAACTCTGCAGTTTAGTCGAGGATATTGTACACAATATTGTATTATACACAGAGTCAGAATGTAATGTTAGTATGAAGAAAAATACTAAGAGAATCAGGAACAATCAGATTCAAAAATAAGATTGACATCTGGTGTGTTCAGATATAAATAACCACACCCCCTTAAAATTTATTTACCTACCTCGGACAATAATATTAATAATGAACTAGCCCCATATATTACACACACAACCTAAAATTTACATAAGGAAATCAAATAAGATATTCATAAAATATAAGAAATTAAAAACTGCACCTTTTTTTTTTTTTAAATAAGATTTGCTTCCCACAAAACCACAACAAGACTTTGTGCAAAATGTTTATAAAATGTATGTAAATGTAATTATTGTAAGAGATCTAAGTTACAATAATTTTCAGTGTCTATCTGAATATTCCACAGAATGTGTGATGTAAGAATGGAGAGCAAAAAATCTGAATTTGGTCTAAATCTATTAAGATACAGCAACAGTTAAAAATATTAACCCATATTGTTGGATTGTATGTCCCATTTTCTCCCAATTTTTTAAAAAAGAAGTCCTGTGTCTAACATGTGGAAAGAGGTCATTCAGACTCCAATATTACACTGTGTCTTCTCAGGACATATGTGTCTTAACCATTTAACCATAACTCCTTGCTTCAAAACATTTAACAGTAATCAGAAATATGTAAACAGTAACAAGCATTAAGGCACTTCTAAACTATCTGATTAGTAATATCAATATCAGCAGCAGTACACCATGAAGGTATGATGCACTTTACATAACAAACATTTGCATGCCAGAAGAGAAATTATCTTTGTTATATGACTTTATGTTTTTCCCCAGGCAAATTAATTTCAACTGTCTTTTTATGGAAATACCTTCATTTAAACATGCACTTTCAAATAAATCTCAATTTTAGTCCTAATGTAGATTACAGGTTGCTCTTTGTATGAAATTCAACCAAGTTCTTGTTTGTTCATCTTTATCTCTGCAGTACCTCTTTATTTAATGGCTTTCATCACAATGTACAATTAATTATACAGAAGGAAATATTACAGAAATACTTTATCATTCAAAAAATTTGCTTTTCGTTATATGCTATACAGAGCCAATCAAATTTTCTGCCGCAGGTTTCCAATTTCCAATTAGATTCAAAAATACTCCAAACCGATAGCATCAAAATAGGTATCAAATTTTTTGTGTGTGTTTCTGTGTACTACAAAATGATCTAATACTTTGACACAATGGTCCATTTTGCACAACTGGTCAAAAACCCAGAAACCATAAGCTATTAACCATTTCATTATACAGGAAATATGCACTTACTCAGACAATCTGACCATCAAGTCATTAGCCCCGGAAATGAATGTTGCCCATGATGAGGAAAACTAACAAGAATAGGTTCATCCTTCCATCCAAGCTCCACAGCCACGTATCTACTGCAGGGTCACAATAAGCCTCCAGCCCACTCAGGAAACATACAGGGCATAGAGCAGGAAACACCCTGGATGAGCGGCCAGGCAAGAAAAGGTTCATTTAAAAGTAGCTTTTATACTAAAGACAGATACACAGAGGAGACTCCACACACTTCCCAATCCAAAACGAGCTCAGAGCATTGATCCAGGCCACAATCAAAACAAAAATAAAGGGGAAAAAAATATAAAACCGTTTATAAAAGTGCAAATATTTTCTACTAATGTCCACTTCACACATTATAATTTCTATGCTTTGATTTCACTCATCAACAGCAGAAGACATAATATTCAAAGATACACTATATACTAGTTGTAACATTCATTGATCTATCACATCTGCAAATACAATAAAAAGCAACAGCAATGACTACAATTGAACTCAGGCTGACTACAAAGGTCACAAAAAGCGTAAGAGGAATTATTATTTACATAATTATTTGCATTAACAGTACTAATAAAAATGCTATTATTACTAAAATGTCCATTAACAGCTAATCCAATGCACAATTACAGCACAGCTCTTTGTAATTGTTCTGCTTACTAGGAGCAAGATAAACATTATCAGAGGCAATGGACAGTAGGAGGGGGAAGAAAATTATTAAGTGACAGGTTGCCTAGCTTCAGCTCTCTCTTGAATGCAATCCATCCTTTTTGATTGACAAGCATGACCAAACCAGATTTAAATGAACAGAGAAAAGGAACACTCAAGCATGAGAGGAGCATTTTATCAGTCTGTGTACAAGTACATGAAACGGAGCAGGATATTATTAAAACATTCTTACTCTGATCTGTGACTTAATAAGTTATGCTGATTAAGAAAACAAAAATATGGCATGTGATCAGAATATCAGCTTTGGCCCAAATTTCTCAGATGCTAAAAACTATGACTGGCAGAACTAAGCTTTACTGATCATCTGTACAAGCCATCCTTCGACAAAAGAAAAGCAGCAGACCAGCAGTTTAGGGGGTTTTCAATCACCCCCTAAACTGATATTTCAGCCGGGAGAAAATATATACAAAAGAAAGAAACGGTTATATAAATTCACATCCTTCAGACTGTCTCCTGTAAGTTTCATGGCGACAGAAAAAAAATATCCACTCTCTCTTCTCAAAATAAAACAAAATTCAAATAAATACACTAGCTAAGACCATGCTGAAAAACTTAACATGTATATTGAATCTGATTTAGTTACAAATTTTAAGGCAATCATAAGATGGATTGTTTGCTACCTGTTACCACAAAAAACAACCATGAAACACTGGATGATTCACTAACTGATCATAATCACAGAACATTCTGACAGGGACATATGCTCTGGAAAAACATGGCAGGACTCAGCTTGACTGCTTACAACAGAGAACAACAATACCAAACATATATGGCATGGCACTAATATATATCTTTTTAAAATTAAAACTGTTTTTTCCTGGTAGTAATAATAATAAATAATAATAATAATATTCAAGAAAACAACTGCATTTTCTATCCTGGCGCTAAAGCTAACTGAATTAAATTGAATTTAATCATTTGTAAATGCATTAAATCTGTTATAAAAAAACAAAACAAATATAGAAAAACTAAAAATATTCTGGTATGGGGAAAAAAGTACTGTGAATAAACATCAAACAAGAGCTTTAAATGAAAATCATAGCAAAAAAAAAATGTTTAATTTTCAGACATCTTGATTAAACTTATCTGCACGTATAACTCTATATGAAAACACACTTAAAATGCAAGTACCACTTGCATAAACTTCAAATGCAGCCCATACTAAGAATTATAACTTAGCTTCCAGTCTGATTCAGACATACTACAGTCTAAATGTCGCCATGGAGTGACAAAACCCACAGTCACCAGAATCAAAATGAACCATTTCTGTCAACAACCGCTTTGAAGAAATGTCAAACAGAAATGCATCTCACATACTACTCAGAAACATTTGGCAAAAAACTGAAATGTTTACCAAGTAAATGATAAAACCACAATTTCCAAATTCATACACAACACTCTCTAAAACCTTTTAAAGCAAATTGTGATTAACATACTTGAGCCAGTAAAATGTCCACTTCCAAGGGATGTTGGTCCATTTTTTCCACTGCTTACAGGGGGAGAAAACATCTAAAAGAAGACAAACAAAACTTAAAAAAAAGATTTTGCTAAAGTTAATTACATTATCGAATCGTTAATCTGACACATTAAATTGGTACGCACGGCTTGTTTGGGAGTGTATTATTCTTAAAAATGTTACTGTGTGAAACATTCATAAAACATACAATAACATTTGCTGTCAAGATAGAATAATTATTAAATAAGAAACTTGAACAAACATTTCGTTCTCTCCTAATGCTGAAAGCCCAAGTATATTTTCCCATACTTCAACTTCAGATATTCATTCGTTTCTTAATAGGTAGTCGAACTATCGGATTAAGCCCTCTACAATTAAAAAAGGAAACGAGCAAACTCAGTGCTACCTACCCGTACTGTAAATTCGCGTAATTCCACGGATAATCTTAAAATTACCCGTCGCTATTTTCTATCAAATTTGTCCATACAATTAAATTAGGAAAGAAACATAGATAGAAAAAAGTTGAACTATTATTCGGAAGCTAAGCGTTTGCCACGGCTAAGCTTTAAAGGACTAGGCGATACTGAAGTTAATTACGCATTTAAGGCTGCCAGTAACAGAACAATGGGAGGAAAAAACTATACAATGATGGATTCACAACATGTATCACTAAATCTCAATGGCCGTCCAACTTTCTTCTCTACTCTTTACTTTCAGCAAGACAATCCAAGATCGTATCAATCAAATACCAGTGAATCATGCTTAACATCTGAGATAAAATGTATACTACAGCATTTCGATTGTTCTATGTAATAAAGAAATATACTTAAGATATACTACCATTGATGTCGGGAACATTTTCAAATCGTTGTTTCGCATCTATAAAACAACAAGATTGCTAATGCAATATCATATTTCTCTGCACATGTTCTGGAAAACACTTAATCATTTCAACCACAATTTGTAAATATAAGCGGTATGGAGTCATGTTAAATTCATTGTTGACAAAAAAAATCAACACTAAAATAAATGTTATTTATAACCAAAAAGGTAAACGTCATGAGAATAGTATTTTACAGTGATTATGTATAGCAATTGCTTACCGCACTGAAATCCAATAAGTCGCTGAGTTCTTTGTCTGTCCCTAAGGCAGCCATTCGCTGTTGGTGATGCATTTTAACTAAATCACACAAACCTAAAAACATGGGAAAAACTGCGGTGAGCCAGCTTTCGCACTAATAAGGAAGGGGCTCTATGTTCTTCAGAACCACAGATGACTCACTCACAAGATTCCACTTCGACTTTAAACCTATTCTCTCTTAATACATCATTATGCAACAGGAGGTTGACGTTAATCAATCCAGTACAGTACAGAAATAAAAGTAACCCATATTAAAGCAAGTGTCTCTCAAGCTAAACTGAGTTCGGTTAGGTTAAGCAGTTTACCTTGGAAGTGAAATCCTATAGAAAAGTGTATATATTTACACACATACCATACATATATATATAACTACATAAATACCGCAGACAGTTAAAAACTACGTGACTTAACGATACAAGTAAAAAATACAACTGAACGACTGTAAATATTCGTAATATATCAAGTACCTAATTGTGTGGACTACGGATCGTTTTGTGCTTGCTTTCAACCTAGTTTTCAGCCCATGGGCGCCGCGAAATGGTGTGTTTGGACAGCCACCTAGCTACCTAACAGTTCATGTGTTGGTAAGTTCATTTTTCGCTGACGGATACGCTAGTTGACAGAAATACTGGATACCCCGCAAAAGATGCATTATTTTATATATTGTTTCTAACCCCGATTTTTCATAGTATAATTAGCATTACCTTCTCGTCTATGGTTTGTGTAAAGTGCAAGTATTTATTCGCATGAAAGTAAAGGTGGAAATGGGATGCATACATACGGACGGTATGTCGAAATATCGGTAAAGTGAGATTTTGCATAAAATGAATCTACAATAATTCAGGCCGCGCAGCTTTCACTCATATTAATCAGAAAGTAAGAATATCAACTATAAAAATATAGCTGACATTCGAGAAACAGATCTGAATGTTAAACTTCAGACAAAACTGAGTTTAACAGATAGTATGATTAACTCCGCGATTGTATTAAGTGTTGTAGTTAAAATGACAGCTTTTTACTTGAATGTGGATAACAGGCGACAAACATTGTTGAATAGCTGCATACTTCACATGTGCTGCGCGCAAATCTTACAATAAAAGTGTGTGCATGTTTGTACGCGCCTAGATATGTCACTAGGCAGCATTATTTCTTATACATATAAACCGACAAGCAGTCTGAAGGAAAAATAAATTAACTTAAACACTGCGAAAGTACTGAAAACAATAAATAAAATATTGTTTTCAGTTTCAGTGCCTGTTATACGGCCATTCGTGTCAAATGATAAATTGCTAACGGAAACATAATCTAGTTAATCATCAGAAAATGGAATATTAGAATAATCGTTAAAGTACATTTCTTTCATCCATGAAAAGGGAATGCTACCATATCAAATAACACGTTAGTTACAGTCTTCCAAAAACGACTCGGCTAAGTAGCTAATTGCCTATATAAAGCGCAAATAATAGTTTCCCAACATGACCCACTTGCAGAAAATGAAGTTGTAGCTATGTCCAGATGTTCCTTATTATTTGGCTGCTGCTCTTGTTTGTTTTAATATTCCATTTAGAAAGCGACCCGATTAACTAGCTACTTTCCATAACCCTAAACGACATACTACAGTATTATGAAATGCACAGTATAGTACAGCGTGCATGATAAAGTCACGTCAACATCCGGGACGTGCGTCGCCCTGCAGGTCCGGGTCACGTTCGTCTGATGTCATGCGATTTCTACGTCCGTCCGAACTGATCGCGCGACGAGCGTTTGCCGCCAGTTTGCCGCCAGTTTGCGAGTGTTACAGTACCTTCTGTTGAAAAGAAATAGATCGCAAATAATTGGAAAAATAAGCAGGACTCGTTTATGAGGGATACATTGTAACATGTGTCGAAAGAAGAAGACGAACATGTGTTGATTTCATATAGTTCTTTTAAGTTTTTAGAAACCGTAGTTGCAACACTATGGGTTTTTAATTAATGTTGTAGGGTCATAACCTGGAAAATTCCGAAAATGTGAAAAAGCAACATCGTTTCATTCCTGTAAAATGCCCCGCCATTACAGTTAGGTCAATAGCGATTTCAGCAGTGTTACACTATAAATAAATATCCCTATTTGCTCAATGAATTAAATTTCCGAGATATTTGTATGATAGGAAGCTTTCCCAGATTAGCCATTTAAATATAGATGTATTTAAAAACAGTTCAAATGAAATAGGCCAAAGACAAACATGTTTCCATGCTTGTATTTATGGTATTAAAAGTACAAGTGCCAGAGACAGGTTTTCTTGCTTTTAATTGTGCTGTGCATCTTTTCATCTTCATCTTTGCAGTAGTTTACACATTTTCTTATTGTTTTGTTCAAACATTAATGCTGAGTATGTCTTGGGTATATTGTATTTTGGATTATGAATTATAATATTCTATTTTATATATAAATTATATAGTATTTGCATTAATTTCTTGTGCATCGGTTTCTTGTGCTTGTTTATTCCGTTAAGAACAGCTGGACATGAGTTTAGACTGAACACATGTTACCTGCCTGTTGTTTAATAATAATATTCAGAAGACAATTTTTCATTGTGCCATAGGTTGATAACGAGAGAGAGTCCTTGACATATATGTTGTTTTTTTGCAATGCGGCCACTAGGGGATCCTAGATACTTTCTACAGCAGGGGTCACCAACCTTTTTGAAACTGAGAGCTACTTCATGGGTCCTGAGCCATACGAAGGGCTGCCAGTTTGATACACTCTTCTTATATCATGCATAATAAACATGTTTTCAATGCTTTTGTTTAGATATTGTCACTTTCAAATCTATATAATTGCAAATGTGATTAAAGAAGAATAGCAACAGGATAAAATAAAATTTTAGACACCGCTCACTGGTGAGTTGTGCTATTTTTAGAACAGGTCCGCGGGGCGACTCATGTGGTCCTTGGGGGCATCCTGGTGCCCATGGGCACCATCTTGGTGACCCCTGTTCTACAGGCACGCTGTGCTATTTATTTTCGTTATAATTTGAAAAGAGACACCTGATTGAGATATTTTTTGAAAGGCTGTAGTCAAAGAAAAGAAAATGAGATTTGTATGATTTGACCTACAGTATTTTTATTTACTATATAAAAATTACAGGTAATTAAAAGTACATTAATTGCTGTAAGCCTGTTGATTATTTCACAAAACACAAGTCACAAGGGGTACAGGTTCATCACCGGGCACCCACTCATACACTGTAATTTAGAGTCACCAGTTTGCTCAACTGCAATTTGTTTTGGAGTGTAGAAAGAAATTGGAGTACCTGGAGGACCCCTTGCAAAAGTGTGGAGAACATGGATGTGAAGCACACAGCTTGCAGGTGTTTTCCCAGGTTTTCCCCAGACACTCTCGACTCCTCCTCTGTTGATCATAGTATCTGTTTGGCTTCAGCGTGAGCATGGAGGTTTGCACAGTCCCGGAGTAGCGTAGGTTTCCTCCTGTAGTATAAAACCATGCAGTCAGGATGACCAGATCTTTGCAACTCCCTGTGATTATTTCGAAGCTTGTGTGCTAATGTGTCCTGCAATGGACAGTGTCCCATCCAGGGTATCCTGCTGACTCGTATATTATATCTCTTTGGATATTTTTCGCATCTATAAAACCATGTACCACAAAAGCAGTATGGTAGAAGGAAATTTTTATTTCTACTATAATAATAATTACTCTCAATGTCTATTTGCTGTATCAGACTTACAAAGGAACTACACATTTTAAATGTGTTAAACTACACACAGTGGTGTAAACTGAAAAATTCACTGATAGGAAGTCGAGGCAAATAGATATCGTTTAGTCTTAAAATCGTTACTATTTGCTAAGCACCTGTGGGAGAATGCAGCAGCAGAGGAGAGTGAAAGGGACCAAAATTGTAATCTGTTGTCA